AGAGAGAGAGAGAGAGAGATTAAGAGACACAGAAAGACAGAGACAGAGACAAGGACAGACAAAGAATGAGAAGGGCGGGGGGTGAAAGGATCTCAATAGAAACTATGTTCTTTATATATATTTGGATGTATTATATATATATATATATATATATATATATAATCTATTGTTGTTATATTATTACTACTAGTTGGGGTCTGTTATTGTCCCACGTGTAAGTGCAGGTGCACCGAAAGACCCACCCATCGACACGATAAGACACAGACTGTTAACCACTCCACTACATTGTGGAAATGCTTCTGGCTCGCCAGACCTTCTCCTATTCTGGAAGCAATGCATTGCGAGACAACGCCCCTGCTCGCTAACATTTGATTGGTTGGTGACTTCTTTTCGTAGCACTTTGAATTGAAAAGCCGCAGATCCAGCACAGTCTGTACTATCAAGGAAGAAGTTACGATTACGAATGAGTGCGAGTATGAGTCGATCTAGATAGATAACAACAGCATGTGTGAGCCTTGAGTCAAAGAGGAGTGATTCAATCAATACCAATTATAATGATAAAGTTGAGGCGATAGGGAAAAAGAAATAAACAGGCCCTGTATGTTTGCTTTATTTCTCGATACTGATGACGAAGATGATGATGATGATGATGATGATGACGATGATGATGATGATGATGATGATGATGATGATGATGATGATGATGATGATGCTTGAAAGAAGGAGAAGAACATGCACTTAAGCGAACAACAACAGAAAAGTTGTAAAAACAACAGCGTCGTGCTGAACCAGCAATATTCAGCAACGCACCTTCCCGTGGCGGTGGCCTTTTTATCAAGGGACAAAACTTAGAATTTATGCTGTTATACGAAGAACTTCTGTGTTACTTCCCCTGTCTGTCATCTTGGCCGAGTTGTGATCCAGTCTATTTTGTCTCCTTTTGCTAATCTTACTTAACTCTCTCTCTCTCTCTCTCTCTCTCTCTCTCTCTCTCTCTCTCTCTCTCTCTCTCTCTCTCTCTCTCTCTCTCCACCTACAAAAGGGAGTGAACCTAGGAGTGAACCCAACTGGGGGAACACGCCCTTTGTTTGTTTTTTCTTTGTATTTTATTCTGTTGCTATCCCTTCCATCCCTTCGCGCCCCCTCTCTCCATCCTCAAATGCTGCAAGCCCAGCCCTCACTACTCAGACAGTTTATCAAGCTGAGCATAAAACAACATGTCACCCTACTCTCACTCTCCCAAAACAAAAATGTAAAATGTATTACCACACGTTGGAATCAGGTCAATTTTGGGGCATTCACTGACGTTTTAAAAAAAATATTATTTTCTTGAAACCTATTCATTTATCTTACTTTTAATGAAAAAACAAAACAAACCCCATTCGCCTCAAATAGAAGTGGAGATATTTGCGACTGAAGGAAGGTGGTGATAGCCTGGTGCCAGAGGTAAAATTAGTGAGTAAACTGGCCCCAGAAATGTGCAACTTCCAAAACTAGAGTGTTCTTGGAAATTGCAAAATTACCTTTCTAGTGCCATTAATCAACGATGTATTTTTTTTTTAAGTAATTTTTTTTTTCTTTATCTTTTAAGTATATTGTTGG